TGGTTGCGACTGAGATTCGTAAGTAAGGGGGAGGAAAGCACTTGTGGTACACACCTGGGTAATTGAGAAACGTCCGACACATATGTACCTGGTCAGCTTGGGGTAGCAACGCACACACTGCAACTGCATGATCGGGATAGATGGTCCTATATCGGCTGTCTTGCGTAGCACAGATATGTCATAGATAAAGACGATTCTATTTTATCTCCTACACCCCTCATTTTCTCGCTCCCGATACTTCCAGTATCAGTTGTTTTGTAGCATCCAACTCAGCTTAGCAACAATGGTGCAGACAGGCAGTGTGAGCGCAGTCATCCTAGCTGATGAGGACATCCCAACCTGTTTCCAGGTTGTATCTCTGTCGTTCGCCCATGACAAGCCATTTGTGGATATTTATTTTCCCAATCATGACACGCCCCATGGGCAAGCACAGGGCTCCGAACGCCTTACCGCCTGGAAACGCACATCCAAGGATTCCACGTTCCTGAAAGCGGTTATCCAGGAAGATAGCCAGGAACAGATTATCGGGATCGGTATTTGGACCTTAATGAAGACGGCTCCTCCTGCGGAGCTCGAAAAGGCGGAAAATATCGAGGCTTGGCCAGACGAGGCCGACCGCGAATTCATGGCTCGTCTATGGAAGGACTATGTGGTACCACGGAGTCAAGCAGTCGAGAATTCCAATGGAAAGGGGGCTTACGGTAGGTCTAGATCGAGCGAAATGTCCGCGAATTGAGTTTCTGGCACTAACGACTTGAATATAGTCCTTGAACTTCTTGCGGTTCATCCGGACTATCAGCGTTTAGGAGCCGGCACGGCTCTCGTCCAGTGGGGAACTAATGCCGCAGATGAACTGGGAGTCCAGGTAAAGTATTGCCCTCGTTCTTTGGCAAACAACCAACTGATATCTCATTTCTCAGGCGGTCGTCGAGTCATCGCCAGTGGGGCGTCGGGTTTACCAAAAGTGCGGTTTCCATATAGACATCGAAGAGATGCGCTTTGACGTGGGCGAGAGATTTGCGAATCGACGAAAGCCGCTACTCACATTCATGACGAGAGAGCCTCAGCTGTAAGGGAGGCGGGGATCGAAGCGAACCTTGGCCATATGTAGCACTTACATTTGGGCCTCTATATATGATTCAGTATCACTGGATAATTCCGATCCGGTAGATGATATGAAGCTATTGTCGATAACCTCGCCGGCGGCTAGTTGAGCTCGGTCACTGGTCGTTTGCATACATGCAGGTAGGCGTATAAGGGCGAAAGAGAAGGATGGAGGACTTGGTCTGGTAAGTAATGTGTTATAGCTGAGTATCATGATCTTGAAGTCTTATTGAGCGGGAATTTCTTGAACGAATAGGTGGTTTCGGTACCGGACACAGCTGGGACTTAGGGAGGAAAGCCTAGTAAGAGGCTCGTTATCTTCTTCACACTAGGTATCGATTTCATGTTTACATGCCTCTTTTACCCTACACTGTGCACCTCAAAGCGACGTCAAGCGGAAGAGCAAGCTCCTTAACTTGGATGCTAAGAATGGTCCAAACGGTCTGGACTCTGGCCCGATTCTTCTTCGCGGTCGCAGTCAATGGTACGTCATCTACAGGCTACTGGCCTGCGGGAATGCCACAGTTGACAGTTCAGTGCATCTAGCGGCCGATGCAACCCCCCAAAGCGCTAAATCCAATTCAGCCAAATTCCCCTAATTGCCAAGCACGCTGGCCGCAACGCTCCCGCTACCAGTTCGTTCTAGAGCATCGCAAATGCGCCCCCGATCGAGAAGCTATGTATAACTTGGGCTGATGGACTTCTGTTTTAATTCTGCTCGAGTCGCAATGTCTAGGTGAAACTTTACACTAAGGTGTTCAAGGTGAGATAGACGAAGAACGAGAATCAGAAGAAGAAACCCAAAAAATAAAGTCCCGCATTGCTGACCTGTAGGCCTGTCCGGGATTGAAAGGCCACAACCTGACACCAATGGCGTTTGCTATCACGATTGCATTTGCCCTGTCACTCGCAATCGAGACGTGAACTGAGTCCCTCGAACGAAGGCGAAAGCATCGTCCGGGCCGTTCGTAAGTCGCCATGATGCCGTCTCTCAATAGCTTCATGCCGCGGCGGAGGCGATTCCTCGTCGTCCTCCCCATGCTAGCCCTGCTCGTCTGGGCCTTACTGCCGACTACCAGGTTCAATTCTCCAACAACGCTGTTACGCGCTATCACGGGCTCATCAGGGACATCTAGCGACAGCATACTGCGATATGTCGATCCGCTTATCGGCACCGTGAATGGAGGTGGGTAGTCGGCATCGGCCTCATCCACAGTCTGTTTTAGGACGATTACTGAGATCGTTCACAGGTCACGTCTTTCCTGGTGCCACTTTGCCATATGGTAAGTGTTTCCAGGATGACCCTTGATTGAAACCTATTTGCTGACCAATCGTCAGGCATGGCAAAAGCTGTGGCCGACTCGAACAACAACGCCGAGATAGCCGCCGGGTTCGTTTCAGACGACTCGGAGATCCAGGGTTTTTCACATTTGCACGATTCGGGTATGTACCTAGCTGAGAACGCAGCTCATTCCACTTGCGAATCCTGCTAACTCGTCGCAAGGCACCGGAGGAGTGAGTTCATTGCATTGACTTGTCGCACAGATCTAATTTGCAACAGAGCCCTTCGCTGGGAAATTTCCCCCTTTTCGTGCACCCAGGATGTCCTCAGGATGATTTTTCCCAATGCAAGTTCACCTCTTTCGAGAGAGCCGTTGCGAGGGTTAACGACTCCGCAACGGCGCAGCCGGGTTACTTCGCTATTGGCCTCAATAACTCAGTCTACGCCGAGATGACGGCCAGCGAGCATGTCACTCTCTATAGATTCAGCTTCTCTGATAAGGAGGAGGTATGGTCTGACCGTGCTATGGTCCCCACGTACCCGCTGATCCTCCTCGATCTGATAGATCTGGGAAACTCTCGGAGTGGCGGCGACGTCGAGGTAAATCCGCAGACAGGGAGAATAACAGGAAACAGCACCTTCAAACCGTCCTTTGGGACTGGGCTTTATACGGCGCATTTCTGCGCGGATTTTAGAGGTGCCGAGATCCGGAAAACTGGAGTGTTTCTACATACCAACGTGACCGAAGGACTCAACGCTATGGGCAAAGAAGCGAGCAATTACTACATCCCGCCTGGCTCCGCCGGTGCTTGGATCCATTTTGACCGTCCGGCCAAACAACAGTTGATGGCAAGAGTAGGCCTCTCGTTTATGTCCGTGGACCAGGCTTGCAGCAATGCAGAGATCGAAATCCCGGACTTCAGATTTCTGGACGTCGTAAAGTCCAGCCAGAATGCGTGGAAGGAAAAGCTATCCGTGATCAAACCGGATACCTCGGGCTTGAGCCAAGAGTCGCTGACGACGTTCTGGTCAGGTCTGTATCGCGCGTTGATCTCGCCTCAAGACTATACGGGAGAGAACCAGCTGTGGACGTCCGACGAGCCGTATTATGACTCTTTCTACTGTATCTGGGATTCGTTCCGGGCACAACATCCTCTATTAACCATCATCGACCCAGCGGTGCAGACCAAGATGGTGCGGTCGCTCATCGACACCTACAAGCACGAGGGGAAACTGCCCGACTGCCGCATGAGTTTCAGCAAGGGCTTCACGCAAGGCGGCTCTAACGCGGACGTGGTGCTCGCAGACGCATTCGTGAAGAACCTCACGGACGGTATCGACTGGAATCTTGGATACGAGGCAGTCGTCTCCGATGCCGAGGTAGAGCCCAGTGACTGGTCCACCTCGGGACGCGGCGACCTAGAGAGTTGGCATAAAGTGGGGTACGTGCCGTACGACGACACAGATCGTAATGGTACGGGGCCGATGAGCCGGGGGATCTCGCGCACGGTAGAGTACGCGTACGACGACTTCGCCATCGCGCTGATGGCACGAGGGCTCGGTCGCAAGGCCGACGAGACGAAATATCTGCAGCGCAGTGGCAACTGGAGAAACCTGTTCAACGCGGAGCAGGAGGACTTGTACCGGGACGAGGCCGGGGTGGTGCAAAAGACGCAGTTTACGGGATTTTTGCAACCGCGATTTCGCAACGGGACCTGGCGTTACCAGAACACGCGGCTGTGTAGCCCCTCGTATCAACAGCACGTCTGCTACTTTGATACGCAGTATGAGACGTACGAGGGCAGTCCGTGGCTATACACTTTCTACGTGCCGCAGGACATGGCAGCGCTGGTTGAGGCGCTGGGCGGGCGCGAGACCTTCGTCGACCGCCTCGAATACTTCCACTCATCTGGCATCAACTACATGGGCAACGAGCCCAACTTCCTGCCCACGTTTCAGTTCCACTACGGGGGTCGACCAGGCCGTAGCAGCTACTGGGTTCACCAGTACATCCCAGCTCAGTTTAACAGCAGCATCAACGGAATCCCGGGCAACGACGATTGTGCCATGGGCGCCTTTACGGCGTTTGCCTTCATGGGCTTCTACCCCGTCGCCGGCCAGGACGTATATCTGCTGACGGCGCCCATGTTCCGCGAAGTCAGCATCCAGACGCCCTCGGGTCGGCCGGCAACGCTGCGTAATGTCGGTGGCTTCGATGCACCACGTTACAATAATATATACATCCAGAGCGCCAAGCTCAACGGTAAGCCACACAATCAGAGCTGGATCACGCATGACTTCTTCGTCAATGGCGGGACACTGGAGTTTGTGCTTGGGCCTACTGAGAGTGACTGGGGCACCAAGGAGGAAGATCTACCACCTAGTCTATCAACGGGGATGTTTGACTGACGGACCAAATCCCAATGATTTGGGAAGGAATTGAGAGGCAGGTGATATGCATTGGGACATATAGAGACTAAGACACTCGAGTAGGATCAGAGCTCTCTATCTACGAAAAGCTTGACTGGCTGAGTAACGATCAGAGGAGAGGACGAAGAAGTACGGATAAGCAAAGTCGTATATGGCAAAAAGTTGATGGAAGGAAAAAGGGTTACTCTCGGTCGGGGAATTGAACCCCGGTCTCAGGCGTGCTGGTCCTGCTCAAGCTGAGCTATTGCAGGGGAACGGCGATGACAAGTGACAAGCCTGCATCCTAACCACTAGACGAACCGAGATGGTTTTGTGTAACTGCCTTTTTTCTGAATGCTGTTGGTTATTCAGGCGAATAAATGGTTGCTTAAGGTGGTAGGACCTGGCTTGCTACAACGAAGTCTCAGGCAGGCACAGATGAAGACTTGACTTGTAGGCAACGTGCAGATAGAAGGTACGAACGAAGATGGGTGGTAGCTGTTTGAGGTACAATTTAATCCAGGGGTTGGATCTCAATAGGGGTGTATAGAATCATTGGCAAAGTGAAGATGTGTCTTTTTTCTTGTGGTGATGAACGTGGTGGATCACGCGGTGTGCATTTCATTTGAGAAGACGAGAGTGGCTTCGAGTGAAAAATCAGGAGTATTTGTGATGTGTACATGAAGATACGGATACAGGTAATATGGCCTCGTTCGAGTTTGCAATTACCAAAAAGCCTCTCTCACTGGAATTGATCCCGAAGCACAATATTAAACATTCATGGCTCAACACACAGTATGAAGCTGAGCTAGCCTGCCTGATGTTCAGGTGAGTGGGGTTGTTCAGCACAGCCTTTGGTGGTTGTGGCTGGCGCGATACTAATCGGGATATGAATTCAATAATTCACATGTATGTCACGGCAGCAATGCAGCATATTGGGTAGAGGATTCGCGTGGCGGATTCTTTGGCTGATAATTATTCCTAGCCCAGTCTAGAACACGATAACGCAGGGTGCCCAAAAGTGACTGATGATTTCTCAATTGACAGTGTCGAGTATCATGAAAGGGGTTTGGCATGTGGCTTCAAACCCATGCCTATCGTGTTTGATTACGAGGCAGACAGGCACATTTGATGCTACACGTATGTACATCTTTCATGTTGTAGATGGTAAAAAGCAGTGTATGAATTGAATGATTATGGCCTTCATCATCTTGACCTTCGTGATCAGGTATAAAGGGGTACACCCCACACGGGAAATGAGATCACCTTGCGCTTTTAAAGCGAGCATTCTGTTGTTTTGATTCGCCTATTCGCTGTAATTTGTAGCTTCCACGGTAGCTTGTTCCTTAGTATATGGCCCTACCCCGCCAACGTCGTCATATGTCAATTTTTATTGAATTCCCTCCTTCTGTCACCGATTGAACAATCTTTGAACTCCTACTCCTCTACCAGCTCTTCAATGTTCTAGAGTTGACATACAAAAACTGCCATTTTCCCTCCATTTCTGTCTATTTCCCATAACTTCATCCAGAGCAAGCACTCACCATGAGCGTCAAAACTGTAGAGTTCGAGTCCTTCACAGACCAGAAGCCCGGAACGTATGTAAACAGCTCCATCGAGCTACCCCGCTACCGCTGCTGCCATCACACCACCACATCCTGTCATTCTCGCTGATCTGCGCGACTTGATAACCAATGCAATTACTAACGCCCTGCCAGTTCAGGTCTCAGAAAGAAGGTCAAGGTCTTCCAGCAACCTCACTACAGCGAGTCATTCATCACCAGCATCCTCTTCTCCATTCCTGAGGGCGCCGAAGGTGAGCATAAAGAGCAGATCGACTCGATCATTACGACATGCGTTGCTAAAATAGTACATCGTAGGTGCTTTCCTGGTCATTGGTGGTGATGGCCGATACTGGAACCCCGAGGCCATCCAACTGATCGCCAAGATTGGCACTGCATACGGAGTCAAGAAGCTATTAATCGGCCAAAATGGCATCCTATCCACACCAGCTGCCAGTCATGTCATTCGGAAGCGAAAGGCTACAGGAGGCATCCTACTAACTGCCAGTCACAATCCTGGTGGTAAGTACGAGCATTGCACTCAATTGATATTCAGATACCTAATATCGGTGCAAACAGGACCCGACCAAGACTTCGGCATCAAATACAACCTGTCGAACGGCGGCCCTGCTCCGGAGAGCGTAACGAACAAGATCTTTGAGGCTTCAAAGACCCTCACTTCCTACAAGCTTGCCGATATCCCCGATGTGGACATTACCACTATTGGATCCAAGACTTACGGCGACCTGGAAGTGGAAATCGTTGACAGCACAGCCGACTACATGGAGATGCTCAAGGATATCTTCGACTTCCCCCTGATCAAGAAATTCTTCAGCGATAACTCCGATTTCAAAGTACTCTTCGATGGTCTTCACGGTGTCACTGGACCATACGGGAAGGCCATCTTCGAACAAGAACTGGGGCTCTCAGGTTCTACTCAGAACTGCATCCCCAAGCCTGACTTCAATGGTGGACATCCAGATCCCAACCTCACTTATGCTCACTCTTTGGTAGCAGCTGTGGATAAGGGTTCTATTCCATTTGGTGCAGCATCTGACGGAGACGGTGATCGAAATATGATCTACGGTGCTGGAGCTTTTGTATCGCCCGGCGACAGTCTAGCGATCATCGCCCACCATGCGCAACTCATCCCATACTTCAAAAAGCAAGGTGTCTACGGTCTTGCCCGAAGCATGCCGACATCTGGTGCTGTCGATCTCGTAGCGAAGGCTCAAGGCCTGAACTGCTATGAGGTTCCCACGGGCTGGAAGTTCTTCTGCGCCCTTTTTGACGCCGATAAGCTGAGCATCTGTGGCGAGGAAAGCTTTGGTACTGGTAGCAACCACGTGCGCGAGAAGGACGGCCTCTGGGCTGTCGTAGCGTGGCTCAACATCATTGCCGGCTTAGGAGAGGCACACCCTGAGACGAAGCCGAGCATAAAGCAAATCCAACAAGACTTCTGGAAGACTTACGGCCGAGTCTTCTTCACTCGCTACGACTATGAGAATGTGGACTCCGACGGTGCCAACAAAGTCGTTGGTACCATAAAGGACCTTGTTGCTGATCCAAGCTTCAAGGGCAGCAAGATCGGTGGTATGTAAATAAATTTGCATGCTCCGTGCTCGCAAAACTAATCAGCATCTGACAGAACGAACGGTTACCGATGCGGGCAACTTTTCCTATACTGATCTAGACGGGTCTGTTGCTTCTAACCAGGGTCTCTATGCCCGCTTCGATAGCGGCAGTCGTATCGTCGTCCGACTTTCCGGCACCGGCTCCTCTGGTGCCACGATCCGTCTGTACATCGAGAAGTATAGCAAAGATCCGTCGACATATGGCCTGGACGCTCAGGACTTCCTCAAGGATGAGATCAAGTTTGCAACAGACCTCCTCAAGTTCAAGGAGTACGTTGGTCGTGATGAACCTGACGTAAAGACTTGAACGTTCTATGGATGGACGTCTGCGTTCGGGTTCTGGAGGTAAGGGGCAAAGTTAGGCAGGAGTGAGAGTAGTAATCAAGGTTTGGAACTTTTGATGCCGACACTATATGATTATCTCCAAATTTCATGGAGACTAGAGAGACATGGTAACAAGAAAATTGACCCACTGGAATCAGCGGATAAATTCACTTCAATATAGTCCATTACCTATCCGTTCCCTGCTGTGTTTACTTGATATGCGTGATCTAATTACCATTTTAAGGTGTAATGCCAACGGGTTCTCCCACAAGCCAACACACAATTTGGAATCGTCTATCCCGTGTCACCTCTCCGCCATGTACGATGTCACAAATAGGTTCCATCCGCACGGAGACCCTTTTATCACAGTCGTTAATATATCCCTGAGTGATGCGCAGCTGTTTCCCAGAGCCAGAAGTAATGATAACCTTGACAGTGGTCAGCCAGGAAGGGACATATTAAGTAGACGGGGAGAGATCCACGGCTAATATAATCTTTACCTATCTTCACCTCTATCTTAACGTGCGATAGCTTCCCCAATATAGTTTGTAAACAGATTTAGTTTATATACCTTATATATTTGGTTAAACCTTTTTTCATGATAAATTCATTCTCATTTTTACCATTTCTAATCGTCGAGTTATTGCCGAGTGACAGCATGTCAAAATGGCCATTTGGGTGGAAAATGAGAGGTAGGTGGACAGGATATTTTTAGAACACCCACCTTTCGGGGCGGGCCGCAGGCGTTAGCGCTGCGCAGCGCAGTGACTTCAAATGTTAGGATGCTCGAGTTGCAAGAATCTGTTTACAAATTTATATAGATGGATAATGATCACCAACTTGCTCGGACCGAAACCTTCGAATCTATCACTTAGAGGAACGGAAATCAGCAGTCTCGTCTTTTCGAGTGTTGTCGAGATGGATACATAAGGGTTTATTTGCATCGGCAGTGGCCAATCCTTGAGAAATGTTCCCAGACCCTACATGTAGGTTCTAAGCTGGCATATTCAGGTGGGGAACAATAAGATAGGACTCCTCCAGAGCCTTGTCTTGGGAACCTCGCTCTTGCTCTTCACCCAACTTTCAAGCAAGAGAAAATACTTCGCTTTCGCGCATCTCTCAAAGGAATATGGCAAGTACGTCGGCGGGAATGGATGGTGGCGACGTTTCCATTGATATGATCGGTCTCAGAAGGGCGAGGACGTCTGAATCCTGGGATTCTCGGCAACTCTACGACTCCTTACCGGTTCCAACAGCCAATCGCTCTATCAGAATCCTAGACATTGACGCCCCACCAGATCTCTCAAGCGGTACCAGTCTGCCAGTCAACCGAGCGGAAAACTTCGTGTGGTATCTCTTAATTCCAGTCCCCAATTCGCAGCCCACGCCAGACGTCCTGACGATCCGCCTGGACGATGGCCGGAATGTTCATAAGAGAATCACAACTAGCTGCAGAGACACCATCCAGGCTCTAGACAAGAAATTTGGTTCTATAAGCATCTGGATCGATGTGGTGTGCATTAATCAGGACGATGAGCAAGAGAAAGCCTCGCAGATCTGACCCCGCCCACTGTTAGGTGACAGCTGATTGGGACAGTCAAGTTCTGCTCGGGCTCATTACCATTGATTGGTCCCGAACTGGAGGACCTGATACGGCAAGATTGGGATCATTGGAGCCACGCGCAGCAGACGAAGTTGATTGCTGCAGCCCTGAAGTTGGCGCACTAGATTCAGTAACAGCTAGGCTCTGCAATTTGCTGTCGGGGAAGAGAAACATCTTCGTATCTGACAGGGGATCTCTAGGAT